TTTTTTTGTTTTTGGCCAAGTATAGAAAAAAAAAAAAAAAAAAAAAAAAAAAGCTTCCAAGTTAGTTGAGCTGTATCTATCTCAAATTCCTAACACTTTTAAAAATGGAGTTGAGTGTACAATTTGTTTTAAGCATACTTTTTTGAGTATACAATTTTATACATACCTTTTTCCCAAAAAGCTATTTAGAGTGGCTTCTATCAAAAAGTCCTGGACGTAGACATAGTAAATTTTCCAGAGAAAAGATTACTAGATGATGTATACATAGTTCATACCTATATGTATGTCTATATGTATGTTTAAATATATACATATAGCATTAGTAAAGTACACTACTTATTAATTTTAACATATCCAGGACAGTTGGAAAACATATTAAGGAAGGGATGATAACTATGAACTACAAATATTAAATTTTTAAAAAGTACTGGCCTGGAGTAAAACATACTCCTTCACCCCTTGTTTAAACGGTGTTTCCTCAATCAATAGCCTTAACTACAGGACCAGATGATTCAGTCCTCCTATAGCCAGATCTTCGAGGTCAGAAGACAAAAATGACAAAGGACATGCAAGAAAAGTTTACTCTGCTATGTCTTAAAAATTTCGAGACAGGCAGGATAAGTTTAGCCTGTTTATCACACGATGGAATTCAACTCGTCATTTCACATCTACCTCCTATTTGCTGTAAATGTATACAGTGTGCTCTCCATGAAAACTGACACCAATGTTGGCAAAATACAACAAAGCTTCCTTGCTAACATGTCAAATAGGTCTTTTAAAAACCTGAGCTGAAAGAACACGTCTCTTGGAGCACTGAGCTCCCACAAGCTATCGGCTGGTTTTAATCTCTCTCCCGCAGCTGCTAGAACGCTGGTTTTAACCTGGAAAGATTTCTGGGCCCCATCAGTCAAGCCCTGTCTTCACGGCCCCTTCACAGATTACAGGAGACAATGCATCTAATAGAAGAGCGGCTGGGTTCGGCGGAGGATACCTTCACTATAGTTGCTTCCAAAGAAAGGCATGCAAGTCTAATTTTAATGGCAAGAATCACTTACTCTGTTACAACGGTGCTGTTGAAGGAATTATCCTGAAGGCTGAAACAGAAACAAGAAAACATCAGCCAAGTCCGGCCGGGGAGCCGTCTCCCTGATTGCTCTCCGGGAGTCAGAGCACATACACAAACATGGCATTGCAAGGCAAGTCTCAGGGCTCGCCCGGCACGCTCGCTCTACCTTGGGCTGCTGTCTGCACATGCTCGTAACGACACCCCCAGCAGGGACCCAGCCGCACCGGCGAACCACAAAGCCCGGCAGCCCGCGAGGCTGCGGGGACAGAGCTGGGCGGGGCGCGGCGATGCGGCCGGGACCCCGGGATCCAGCGAAGAGCACCTGGAGAGTCACCGCGCGACCCCAACCTCGCCCGCCCAGGCGCCGCGTTCAGTCCCGGGCTTTCTGGCCGGCCACCCCCAAGGCTGGCAATCGCAATGCCCTGCTGTTTCTGCCTAGGTGCCGAAATACCCGGGAGACTTGCTTTCTTCCCGTTGTCTCCTACCAATCCTACCGAGCAACCTCCCCCACCCCCTTCCCTACCCCCTTCCCTGGAGATGGGGGTTCGCAGAGATTCAGCCATCGTTTGGGCAAAGCCGAGAGGGAACCAGAGGGGGAGGGGGAGATTGCTGCTGTTTTGCGTTTTATTTTTATTGTGCGTTGTTTTTTATTGCCTAGGAAAAAGAAGAGCCCCTGAAGGAAGACTCGCGGCATCGCACCCCATCTGTCTGCTCTGTTATTTCAGTCCGGGAGAGGAAGCGCCCAGCCAGGACCACAGAGCTGTGAATGAGCCCACGCAGGGCGGGTGGAGAATTTATTTGTAGGCATTAGCTGGTGACTAGGACACCGTGCGAGGGGTGGGGCTTGCTACACCCAGAGCCACCGGCTGGAGCTCACTCCCTAGCACCTTTACAAAGGATGGAGTGACTGGGTCTAGGAACGCTGTCCTTTTGTTGGGCGAAGGACAGGCTCTCAGCCCCCATTTGCTTCTTTCCCCTGGGGACATTTGTCCTGCCCTCTTTCCATTGTTCATTTCTCCTGCCATGTTGACCTTGATATGGAATGAACAGTGTTTGTGAAAGATGCTTGTTTGAATTTTGAAATAAGAAGATCCCCTTCCCTTTTAATCTCTCCATTTCCAGGCGCAGCTGAGAAGGTGGCTTTTTAGTCCAAACTATTATAAACACGATGAGTTAACGTAACAAAAGTACTCATTTTTTATCATTTTTGAAAATTTAGAAAACTTACCCAAAACTTGGAAATAGGAGTGCGCAGCCTGATCCATCAGTGTCACACTGAGACAGTGTTTAACAGATCCAAGCAAGAGCTAGTTAATTGTCAAGGAGAGCATATTTGTGTTTGACTTTACTGTTCCCTGTTAACTAGCCAGAGTGAAGTTAGATGCTAACTGGTACATTTTATTCAGTTTGTCTGTAAACAGAGATGACCAACCTTTGTGGTTTTATTGCACGGTAGATTAACCAGTTTTGCAACTAACCAAACATTCTTTTTACATGCCTGTAAATATGTAAATCCTCAAAATGCTGTTGGACCTCACATTAATAAATGAATAGATCTCTAAAGTATACCTATAATTGTATGAGTCACACTTTTAACTTTTTTTTTTTTAATAGTTTGGTCATAGGGCACATGTGCCCACGGGAAGAGACAGACAGACAGAGAGAGGGAAAGTGAGAAATCACCCCCTGGGGGAATGGCCATGTCAAATCCCTTCTTCTCCATTCTCCTCTCAGAATTTTGAACACACATGCACACATGCCCAGCATGATTTTCAAGCTGATGGTGTCTGGGACTCTACAGTTGTCCATGTGGGAGTCCAGCGCCTTAGCCACTAAACCACCTGCTGGTCCCATTTTTAACTTTATAAAAATTATGCTTTAGAAGTCAAAATTGAATTTTGAAAGGAAAACAGATTTCGTTCATGTTCTTTACAATTTTACTTTTCTTTCTCCAAACATTTTTTTAAAACAGCTAAACAAGGGAACCAGCAATTAGTGTAATGGCTATGTCACTGGACTCCCACGTAGTCGACCGCAGTTCGCGTCCCGGACCCGGTGGCTTAAAACTCACGCCGGGCGCACGTGCGTGCGTGCCCAAGATCCCGAGAGGAGAATGGAGGAGAAGGGATTGCAGCGTGGCCATCCCCCCTGGGGGGTGATTTCTCGCTTTCTGTCTCTCTGTCTCTCTCTGTCTGTCTGGCAAGCGCACGTGCCCTACAGCGAAAAACCTCTCAAAAAAAAAAAATGCAAAAAACAAAACAGCTAAACAAAAACATAATGCTATTGTAAACCTATAATTCCACACATGTTTAAATGTATAGTATAGGTATGTTCCTGAACCAACCATTCTCTTACATGAGTCAATTTCAGGAGCAACTCACTTCTTCACAAACTCCAATATTAATTTTTAATATAATTTTATTATATTAACTTAATATAATGTTAATGTTTTCAGATATGGCCTCTTCACTGGACTCATTATTTAGCTATCACAGATCAGATCTGTTCTTTCTGCTTATTGAGACTGATAAAGGTAAGCCTCTAATAAGCTTTTTGAGATCCACAGATTCTAAAATGTTCAATTTCTAAAAATCCCTTTCACTCACTGGCTATGATGCTGATTTAAAATGTTCTAATGTACAGGAATAAAATACGTTTCTCTTGTAAATGTTCCCAGTGATCCATTTGGAATGGGAAAGTGTAATACCTTCAACTATGAAATAGAATTTGGGCAAAGATATAAAATAATGTGGGCTCTTGGAAAATAAACTGAAATAAATACACTCTATAAATTCAAGTATTTCATAATGTCCACAGAAAAGAAACAAGAATTCTCAGCAACTCGTGAGTAGTATGGATCAAAAATTGGGTTATAGGTGGTACTCACATATAATAAAAACAATTGGTTGATTGATGATGGTTAAAAACCACTAACGTTCCAGATCAAAACCCGTTTTTTGGCAGTGTTTAAGAAAATCAACTATTTTCATTCTTATTTCTCAACTAACTCTTGTAGCATTTGTGTTTATCTTAAATTGGTTTTAAAAATTATCTTTATAAGTGGCTCTTCAAATGACTTTTAAAAGTGTTTTGTATTATTCAACTTAAAATAAGATAATACTGATGAATATCATACAACATATGGTTGTTTAGGAAGACTTCAGCTTCACTGACTGGATAGCAATTCAAGGACAATTCAAAGAGAAGCAGAAAAATTAATATTGGAATTTGTGAAGAAGTGAGTTTTAGGTTCAAGTTTCTGAAAACGCCAACAGAATTCTAGTGTCTTGAGTGGTCCAGGAAAATGTTGTAAAAGTTACATCACCAAAATAAGTTTTTGAAAGAAAATATATCATAAATTCACAATGCACATTATGCCGGAAAGAAGAGTATTTCTTCTGTTTTTAAGTGTGAGGCACCTTGAAAACCAGAACTTTTTTTTATTAAATGTATCATCAATTAATGTCATGTGTAAGTAACTAGAAATTTTGAGAAGTTCCTGAGAACATCAGGAAAAAAAGTGCAAAATGGATTAAATGGTAGTTATCTATTGAACACATGTATGATTGAACAAATGTTAATGCTTAAGCACACTTCATAGTTATGAACAAGACAGTCTCTGTCATCATAAAGCTCTTAGTATAATATAGTGTATATGTATGCAAATATATAAAATATGTAACATATATATCATATGTATAGCTCTATTTTATATAACATGAGTAGAATGAGAGGAAAATGAAATGCTTTAGTTCAATATGATTAATTCACTAACATGTTAAAAGTTTCAAAGTTTTATTTCTTTATGCCATATGTATAGGACATATTTCTTTTTAAAATGATTATATATTTTAATTTTATTGATTATTATTATTTTAATTTGACCAGAGAGAGAGAAAAAGAAAGTGAGAAAGCCAATTGCCAGGTATGGGATTCAAACCACAGTTGACTATGTGGGAGTTCAGCGCCTTAAGTACCATGCCACCTGCTGGCCCCACATGGCGTATTTCAGTATCTATTTAATTATCATGCATCCACCACAAACACAAGAAGTATGTGTGAAAAGTGTGGTATATATACTCTATGGAATACTACTCAGCCATAAAAAATAACAGGACTCTGGCATTTGATAGAAAGTGGTCAGATATGGAAGATCTATTGCTGAGTGAAGTAAGCCAGGCTATGAAAGAAAGATATTGTATGTATCCACTCAATATATACCGACTATCCGCACTCTATGGTAGAGAGCAAAAAATTGGAGGACATAAAAGCAGTGAAGGTACTTAATGAGAATAGGACAGAGTGGAATGGGGGGGGGTGAAGAGAAGAGGACAGAGAAAGATAGCAAGAGAACAAATAGAGAGGCA